GTGATTAATAAGTAATTTCACTTGCCTCCTAATGACTTTGTTCTTGCAAAATTCCTTTAAAATTATGCCAATCCAAACACTTATTTCCAATCTTCCTCTTAGAACATTGAGGAGCAAGAGAAATATTAGGTAAGAGAATGTTAGTTGTCATTAGATAAAAGGAATGAAAATATGTTATTAACTTCTAAGTTGCTGTTTTGGTCTAGAAGTCCATATTTGATTTCTCTCAGGCTAAACTTCATTTAACTTTCATCCTTCCAAGTGGCATAATTGTTTTCGTAGTAACTGTTCTATACCTATTTTTTCTTCTCCTATACCTAAAAAAAAATAATTTAAATAAGGACTGTATCTAAGCTTACAGGTTTCACACTCAGGGAATATACCTTCTAATGGGAAAAGGATAAGTATCAGATCCTTTGAAATATATACAGTGAAAATTTGGCTATTCTCTCTCTTTTTTTTTTTTTTTTTTTTTGTAAGAGAGACCAAGAAAAATGCTGTCAACAATAATGTTAAATTCGGAAGTGTGAAGTTGTGCCAGCGGGTTTTAGAGAGGCTGATGCTATACTTGGGAATTTGTCAGATACATCAATAACGTTTCATAGCACATTTGGCTGTGTGCAAAAAGCAGATACCGAATTTCTCCATCCCTCTTGGGGAATAAAACACCCCCTATTTTGAAATGTATTGGGGTGACTTCCTCCATTCTCTTCTTCTGTTTATTTTTATGGGGCTCTTTAAGGAAGTACCTAAGCTTTTGAAAATATCATCTTAGCTCACACCATGAGGGTTTGTTTACCACAGGAATATTAGTTGTGCTCCTAGAAATAATGAAAAAAAAATATTTCACCAGGGCAATTGGACAGCTAATCTTACTGGTTAAACCGGCTGCTGGCTGACTGCCAGTGGGTACAATGAAAAGATTCTCCAATTAGCTGTCCATTAAAAAGCCACTCAACTCTCTCCTATCACCTACCATGTTCCAGGGACTTTGGTGAGAACAAGGAGAAAGTGCGAGGGTAGCTGCTGATACATGGTTATGTCTGCGGTGAAAACATGCCCACCAAGAAAGACTTTCTGTTGTTCCTAAAGACTCAACACTTTGGTGTGCAGAAGGACCTCGGAGGATTATGACGTCTAGAAGAAGTTCTTGCAGAAGAACTCAGCCAAGTCGAGTCAGATCCTAATTGCCATGTGTTTCCGCTGCCCCAGCGTCCTGTGGCCGTCTCTGATTCCTCTGCTGTGGCAGTTTGAGAAGCATTGTTCACACTTAGCTGTTTGTGGTCTGCCAACCATTGCCCAAACAGAAGAGGAGCAGCACCTGTCATCTCCCCAGACCCAGTGACTCCAGTATTTCAAAGAGTTTATTTTTTAAGGGGAGGTCATTTTGGTCCCCTTAACACTCAGCAAGAGCCCTTGATTTGAAGCTGTAGACACTACCTTCAGCGAGAAAGCCCCATGGCATCGTCATGCTGGGAACCAGGAGAGCAAGGGGGCCTGGTTGCCCCATCCCAGCGTGGCAGGGGAGAGGCTGGGAGCTGTCAGCTCCTGGCACGGCAGCCACGGCCTCGTCGCTAGCAGTGATTGCCATGTACTGATGCTTGGCCCATCTGAAGTCCTCCAAGAACTCCTTCACTATTGTCGTCCTTATTTCACCGAGAAGATTCGCACCTTGCCCACAGTAGGACGGTGAGTAGAGTGAGAGCCCGAAACACAGGATGCTCAGATTCCGAGCCCAGACTTCTGTTTCTCTGGCTATTGCCACCTCCTTCCAGAATTTGGCATTAAAAGGCCATGTTCCAGGTAAACGGTTAATGTTTTTTCCATGTTTATTTCATAATTATGACAACACATTTTATTCCTTTTATAATTTCATGGAATTTAGACAAATAAATGATAACCCTTAGTGTATAGCACATTAAAATCATTGGTCTATGTAGGCATCTGCTTTTATTTAATTAATTTAAGGTTATATGATGTCTGCTTGGGGACACCCAATTTAGGGATGAGGATGTTTACGATAGTTTGTAACTACTGAGTGATCCCACACTGATTCACCTCCCACCTCCAGTTGGACTTCAAGAGTAAACTCTATTATGAAATTCATATTTTTATGCTTCTTACCTTTTAAGAAGAATTTTATCTTACATATCATAAAATGTCTTAAATCTTCACATGTTTCTGAGGTATAAATACTGTCATATTGCATATGATTTTCCAGTGATGCACATATAAATACAGGTATAGTTCATAGTTTCGCTTTGGTAAAATATAATTCTAACTGTAGTACAACTTATTTATCCATTCTCCTTTCAGTAGATATTTAGACTATTTCCAGGCTTTATTGTTTTAAGGAAATGGCAGTGTGAATATTCTTGTATTTCTTCTAGTGTGCATATATCTCCTTAGGTATAAATATGAGAAAAAATTTAAACTTCTTATCTTATTAAAATTAAGTGGTAGCTCATTGTGTTCTTGGTATGAATTTCCCTAATAGCTAAGAAGATAAAAACTTCCTCTTATTTTTATTGGCTTCATGCATTCGCTTTTAGGATAAATGTTATCTATTCCCCTGCTTCTTCTAAGCTGTCTTTTTTCTTATTAATTTGAAGGAATTCAACACATGGTCTGTAAGTCACCCTATGTTGGTTATTTTATTGCAAAATTGTTGTAGTTAGTATTGCTTTCTTTTCGTAGTTTTTGATAAACAGGTATGGTAGTTTAATTTGTCCATCATATTTTATGGTTAGTGATTGTTGTAGCTTATTTAAGACAGAGTATAAGATTGGATATGAATTCCAATTGAATTGAATTGAAGTTTTTTCTTACATTTAAATCTTTAGTTCGTATAGAGTTATTTTTACATAAGCAATAAGGGAAGGGCACATTTTGCTTTTCCCCATCACCACTGAGTATAAATCCTAGATCTACTTATTGAATAGTGTGTATTTTTCCCATTGAGCTATCATGATATCCTTGACCATGCTAATAGTCCTTTTATATAAGAGACTATTTGGGACTTTCTAGTCTCTTGCACTAGTAAATTTATCTGCCTCTTAATCTGTTCCATAAGTACTTAATTATTATGATTTTACTATAAGACTAGCTATGTTGTGGGAAGTCCCTACTTAATTTTTAAAAAGATATATATTGGTAATGCTTAGCTATTTGCTTTTTCCATATAATTGTAGAAAAGAATGGCAAATTTCATGGAAAACAAAGCAGAGATTTTAATTAGAGTTACTATGAGTTTTTGGGACAGTTTATGAAAATTGACATCTTTCATATATCACTTTCTTCTACGTGAACATGGGCCATCTTTCCATTTGTTTGGAGCTTCTGTAATTTCTTTAAGTTAAATTTTATTCTTTATCAAGAGCTTATAACTATTTTGTTATGTATATGCATAGATACTTTATTATTTTATTGCTTAAATAAATGGTGTTATTTTAAATTATACTTTGTACAGTTTTTCTGTTGTACTTGAGAAATGTACTTGACCTTATTTTTGTATTTTGGTTTATATTATATCCAGATATTGATCCATACTAATACGGATCCATACTATTATTGCTGATCCATGTAATTATGTAATGATACCTGAACTTCGATATGGGATGGCGTTGTTGCAAGCAGTGGTTTAACCCACTACGCCACAACATCGGTCCCTATTTGACTTTGAATTGTCTGTAGAAATTTCTTTGTAGTAGGTTAGTGGGGCCCATCTCCCCCAGTATTTATTTAATTATAAATGTGTTTATTTTGACCTCTGATGGCTCCATTGGGAATACATCGTAAAAAGACAAGCATTGTAGTTAGTAAACCGGTTCAAACGCTTGCGCAGGCGCCCGGCAAAGGAAGCTGGCGGATGGCAGAGTTTGGCTGCAGTGGAGCTGGGGAGGAGTTTATCTGATCTCGACGCGGTTTCAAGGTGCAGCCAACAACAGTTCTTCTTCGGATTCAGGGTTTGAGAGAAGGGATGAACTTGACAGGGAATCAAGGGTCTTGGGTAACCTGAAAGATGGATTTGCTACTACTGAAGATGGGGGGGTCATTTGGAGGAACAGATAGGATTTTGGTTTGGGACATCTTCATGCCATATTTACTAAGCAGAAACAGGAATGCTGCACGTGTGAGTGTGGCGTTAAAGAGAGCTCTGCGTTTTTCAGTCATACACATAGACGACATTTAAAGCAAGGAAACTGGATGAGGTCACCATGGAGAGAAAGGGGTGGAGAACTGAGTCTTGGGAGACTCCAGTGAGGAGAGGTAGAAAGAGGGTGGTGCTGGTGGTGGGGGATCAGCAAAGGATACAGAATCAGTAGCCAGTGGGATAGAGGGGGAAGAGAAGAGTAGCATGGTCCCAGAACCCAAGTGAAGGCACAGTACAGGGACAAAGTTTCAGTCATCGCTTTCTCAAGATACAGATGTAAAAGGTGTGTGGAAGACAGAAATGATCACTGATTTAATGTGGAAGAAATTATACTCAAGGGAATTGTACTCACATTAGAGAAAACTGTTACAAAGGGTTTTCATGCTGAAGGCAAGAGAAAGGATTTAGAATCTGGAAGGTAAGTACTACATGGGGTTGACAGCGTGGTAGCCACTGGACACAAGTAACCGCTCAGTAATTGAGATAGGAACAGTTTGAACTAAAATGTGATGGAAGTATAAAACAGACACAAGATTTCAAAAATTTTTATCAAACCAAAGTAAACTATCTCAATTATTTTTAAACTGATTATATGTTGAAATGATAACATTTTGGATCCATTACACTAAAAATATAAAAGATACCTACAATATTCATTGAAAATGGGTGTTATGGAAAAAATACGAAAATATTTCAAAATACATCATATCAAAGTAAGCTTGTATTTTTAAAATTTTTTATTTATTATATTTGAGAGATACACAGAGAGAAGGAGAGAGAGAGAGAGAGAGAGAGAGAGAGAGATAAATGTCCTACCTGCTGACCTGCTCCACAAGTGCCTGCACCAACAGGGGTAGGCCAGCCGAAGTTGGTAGCCAAGAACTCAGTCCAGGTCTTCCACATGGGTGACAGTGAGCCAGCTATTTGAAGTTATCACCTAATGCTTCCCAGGGGGTGCATCAGCAGAACGTGGGTAGTTGGAAGCTGGAGCAAAGCCAGGACTCAACCCGCCACTCCAGTATGGCCTGTGGTGTTGCAAGTGATATCTTAGTTTCTACACTCTAAATTCCCAGCTCACACTTATCGTACACATTTTGGAGTTCCTTCTTATATTATTAACATTAAGTTCTCCTTTTTAAGGTTTATTTTTAAATGTGTATACTAGAAAATTTAAAGTTACATTGTGGTTTACTTTATATTTTTACTGAAATTCAAATACACTAGAACTATAAACACTTAATATGTAGGAGGTTGTGCATAAAAACATTCTCTGGGACCATAGTGGTACAGAAAGTTAATTTGCTACTTGGTACACCAAGAGCTTGGGTTCCTTTCCCACCTACATTTACAAACCAACTTCTCCTTAAAGCACACCCTGGGAGGCAGAAGATAATGACTCACTATTTGTTCTCCATCACTGATGTGGGAGGCCCTTAGGGAGTTACGGGCTCCTGATTTTGGCTAATTCCAACCCCAGATGTTGCAGGCATTTGAGGAGTGAACCCCAAATGGGTGGAAGATGGATCTTTCTCCCCGCCACCTCCTCTCTCCCGCTCTGCCATTCAAATAAATAAAAATAAAAAAAACACAAACTGTAGAGCATATTAATTTGTAAATTATTGAAGATTATCAAATGGAAGCCTTCAGGATAGTGAAGGTATTTGAAGCAAAGCTGATCATTTAAAACCAGCCACGGTGGAAAGGGTCTCCTTTCAGACACTTGGAATGTTTGCTTCAAAGCTATGAGGAAGATTTTGGATCATTTCCTCAAAGGTCTCACTAAAGTTGGTAGAATTTAAAAATAGTGTGTTAATTGCTATAGATTTTCATAGATATTGAGTCCATCTGAGTCCATGATTGCATAAATATGAAATAGCTAATAAGATGTCTGAATGTTTTGCATCTTTGATATTTTGAAATTAATTTTATTTCATGGTTCTTCAAGCATGAAATGAAAGCAATTTTCATGGAAAACTGCTTGATCTAGTTATTATCTGACCATTTGTATTCTCACACGATATTTGATGAATCGGTGTTAACGATACGGCTTCATCCTTTCCTGGTAATTACATAATTACTAGGGATGCAGGAATCCAGCTGTGTTTGGGTTTCACTGAACATCTTGAACTGTCATTCCAACATTTTGAGTAAAATTTTAAAAAAGCGATTTTATCAAAGATGGTTTAAAATGTTAAACACACATACTTTTCAGAAGAAATTTAATCCATTTACCATTCCCTCCTGAAAGCTTTTGTTAAGTGAGGACTCTGTGAAGTTCAAGAAGCCGGATGTGCCGTGTAACGAGCTCTGTCTCTACTCACTTCATTTCCCATCATCCAACAGTCATCTTTGCAGAACAAGTGCATTTTCAAGCATTGGTCTTAACCCTAAAAGCTCTACAGTATTTCAGTTGTTTCTGATTGTGTTTAACACAAGTGTTTCCTTAGTATCGTGAAAGCATTTTGGTTGGTTATCACTGGCTAAAACACCTTCTGATTTTGTGTAATTACTCTTTCACCAACATTGAATTGTGATAATGTGCTTGCTAATTGGCTACATTGTAGACTGCTTTTAATTTACTAAAGTAGACAATCACAATAGCAAAGCCTAGCATACGGCAGGCACTTAATTAATATGTTTCAAAATAATCAATTAACTAATAATGTGTATTTGTTTTAAATTCCATTTGTGATGACTGCTTTATAGAGCAAAAACTGCACTAATCCCTTTTCAATACTTTCCTATTGCTCATGTCTATAATAAAATGTATTTATGTAAAATAAAAAAAATTCAGTGGCTCAGTTCTTAACTTGAATGAGACACTGATTAATATTTTACATTTATAGAAGTGTTACAAATAATAATCAGAATACTGTATAAACACATGTATAAAATATAATGTATAATACATTTGTAATAAATATACTTAATATTTATACTATACATAAACATGCATATATATATACATATGATACCAAATATGCTTTTATTAGTGTATTAAATATTTTACTGCAATGTGTGTTATATATGTTATATAACTGTATATATATTCTTTTTTTATAAATTCTTATTTTTTTAATTTTTTTAATTTTTTTGACAGGCAGAGTGGACAGTGAGAGAGACAGAAAGGTCTTCCTTTGCCGTTGGTTCACCCTCCAATGGCCGCTGAGGCCGGCACACTGCGGCCAGCGCACCGCGCTGATCTGATGGCAGGAGCCAGGTGCTTCTCCTGGTCTCCCATGGGGTGCAGGGCCCAAGCACTTGGGCCATCCTCCACTGCACTCCCGGGCCACAGCAGAGAGCTGGCCTGGAAGAGGGGCAACCAGGACAGAATCCGGCGCCCCGACCGGGACTAGAACCTGGTGTGCCGGCACTGCAAGGCGGAGGATTAGCCTAGTGAGCCGCGGCGCTGGCCTTGTATATATTCTGACACTATTTCATTTGCTTTTCACAGTGATACCATGAGAAAACCTGATTTTCTAGAGGAAATGCAGAAGGAGGACTGCTGCCTTGAGGTGGTAAATAATTTTTATATCAATAACATCTGTAGTCTACTTCAAGTTGAGGTATATATGTATATATTTTATTATATTTATTTATATTTACAGGAAGAGTTACAGAGAGAGAAAGAGAGGGAGAGAAAGAGAGAGAGAGAGAATGTTCCATCTGCTGGTTCACTCCCAAGTGGCCACAACAGCTGGGGCTAGACCGGGCCAAAGCCAGGAGCCAGGAGCCAGGAGCCAGGAGCTTCTTCCAGGGCTCCCACTTGGATGCAGGATCCCAAGCACTTGGGCCATCTTCCACTGCTTTCTCAGGCCAAAGCAGGCAGTTGGATCAGAAGTGGAGCAGCTGGGACATAAACCAGTTCCCACATGGGGTGCTGACATCGCAGGAGGCAGCTTAACCTGCTAAGCCACAGTGCTGCCCCAAGATGAGGTATATTAATGCACAGCTTTGCTTGCTTCCTTTCACACAGTCAAGAATAGGCATTTTCTAGGCCTGATCTAGTTTTTGCAGGGAAATTGCTCAATAAAAGGGTACTTGAAAAAGTGTGTGCACAAACGGAATTAAAAGATGTTTAATTTGGAACTAAAACTTTTGAAATACATAGTTTTTTTTTCATAATATGCACATTCTGTGACCCTGTAAAGACCCCTCATATGCACAGATTTCAACATTTCTTGCAATAGAATAAACTTACATTGTAATCACATTTTCAGTTAACCTTTTGAAGTATCCTTGTAGCAAGATTTATTAAGCACAAGGAGTAGGAGATGAAGGGTCCAGAGAAGTTTCTGGAAATCACTCACCTATTTCCCCCAGCACTGAGCATTCTCGGCTCTTCGTCTTCCTTTAAAATCTCTGTCTAGTTTCTCCCAAATCACAAGATAATTTTGTTGGTGTAACAGGTGTCTGTGCTTCCATTACTTCACTCTAGAGTTAACAAGGAGATGGAGAGGAACTTTAAGGTCATACATAAACAAACTACAGTCATGTGTATCGTATTTTGTTTTGTTGGTGTCAAGGAGTACAAAATAATCAATTTGCAGGTACTCCATATATTTTTTTTACCCAACTTCAGCTATCTTAAGGACTGTCAATGAACTCCCAGATTGGTGTCCATATTACCAGAAATTTCAGCTGATGGATCTGTTTATAAGGTCACATTCATGGAGGGTAGATATTCATAGAAAAAGAATTCCTCATTTTCCTTCAGAGTCTGTGAATTATATCCTTAAGTGTGCACTCACAGTCCCAATTTCTCTTAATCGAACTTTCGCTCCAATTCATGAAAAGATTCATTACAACACATTTCTTTCTGTGGAAAGTGTGCTCAGAGACATAGACCTGGCATACCTTTTCTTAAATAAAAGGGTGAACAAGCAGGGAGTGAATGTGGATGGGTGCAGTGACTCTGTATTCGTTGTGGGACTGTGAAACTCATCTCTTTCTGAAAATTGCTAGAACCTCGGCTTGTGTACAACCATGTGCATTTTATGTACATGTGTGTAGCGTGTAGCAAGGCCTGGAGTCACGAACAAATGGTTCAGGGATGTGAGCAGTTTCTGCCAGCACCTGGCCTCGTTTTCTGTGTACATAGTACAACAGATACTGCTGATCTATTTGACATCTCTGCCTAAAACTGAGATTCTGTTAATTTACTCCAGATTACCTGCTGGAGACAGAGAAACTGGCTATTCTGTTACTTCCGGGAGATCTGAATTCCAGCGGACTTCCATAGCAGGTCAATAACATCTTGTTTTGTCTTGGCAACAGTTCACGACTCCTCCCTCAAGCTTTGCTAGAGTGTAAGCAATGACTTGTTTCTGCTAAGGGTTCCTCCACAACTTGGAAGGGAGCTGGCACCTCTTTCCCAGCCACCTTAACCTTTCCTTGGGTAAAACACTCACATAGGAATTAAACATTCATCACTGGCCACACACACACCAATCATGCTGTTTTGCTTTTTTAAAATTCACTCTTCCCTGGGCTTTTACTTTTTTCTTTTGTTTTGTTTTGTTTTCAGTTGGGAACTGCCCAACCCCACTTTGCTAAGCTGAAACTAACCTTTCCACTCGGCAAAAAGGGCATCTTTGCCTAAGCAGATGGTGATGTGCACTGGTGTGTGCAATTTATTTCCATGTCACTGAGCATTACAGACTTTGCAGAAGCAGTTTCAAATATATTTTAAAATAAAATATGATGCATTGGGTTATGGTCTGTGTGGATTATTTTAAAGGCAGGTGTGCCCCTCTCTTCTTGCTTTAAGAGCTAACGGTAGGTAAGCAACCCAAGTCGTACTTGCAAAGTCATGATTCACCATTTGGGAAGGGATAGGGGCTAAAATTTAGCTTCACCAGCATAACAGCTTCAATCAACTTCCAGCCATGTCGCTGACATCAATCAGTGAAATAGAAAGGCATGGTGACAGAACCTTCTCCTAAGAAAACGTTCGTTACCCATCACATCATATGATATATTAGAAAAGAAATTGTCAAAAGCTTCACCAGATGAAATCAACATCTGAGATTTCTGGGCCTGTCTCTGCCATTACTCAGACACTTAATTTCTCTGGACTTTAGTTCTAGCACATAAAATACAGGGTTCCATTTATATTAGCACTTCGGAGAATAAACTTCTCAAAAACTCTTTCTTCAAGATCCACAGTGAAGAATTCCATGATCAAATAAGTTCAGAAAGCATAAACACTGTCACATTAAGGAGTTCATGGATAATTTTACAAAAGTCCAGCAGCAGAGAAAACATACAATGCTGTTTAATTCTGTGTTTCTAAATTTTCTTTGACCATGAAATATTTTACCTATTAAATGCTGAGATATAGCTTGATGATAACTTTTACAATTTTTTTTTTTTTGACAGGCAGAGTGGACAGTGAGAGAGAGAGACAGAGAGAAAGGTCTTCCTTTGCCGTTGGTTCACCCTCCAATGGCCGCCGCGGCCGGCGCGTTGCGGCCAGCGCACCGCGCTGATCCGACGGCAGGAGCCAGGAGCCAGGTGCTTTTCCTGGTCTCCCATGGGGTGCAGGGCCCAAGCACCTGGGCCATCCTCCACTGCACTCCCTGGCCACAGCAGAGGGCTGGCCTGGAAGAGGGGCAACCGGGACAGAATCCGGCGCCCCGACCGGGACTAGAACCCGTGTGTGCCGCGCCGCTAGGCGGAGGATTAGCCTAGTGAGCCGCGGCGCCGGCCGATGATAACTTTTAAAATAATTCCTAAAAGCCCATCCATCTAAACCTTAAGGGCATTTACATTTTGCTGAGTAATATTTATTGTATACTCGAACTGTTGAATTAATATAATCTATTTTATGATTTTAGTTTTACTGCCTAATGTATTACATATCCCATATCTCATAAAGGAGTGGAAAGTAGCCCTGATATAATTAGCAAAATCTGGTCTTCAGATTTTATGACAGTGTTCCTTGTCTTCGTGATATATTTTTAATCTCTTTGAGTTTTCAGTTAACGTACTATTTTAAACTCACATAACTCACAACCACTGTGTTTACAGTCAGTTTTATTATTCCACCCTTAAACATCAAAAGAACTTGAAATCCAGTAAATACCTGTTAAAGTTAGAACTCAAAGTGCAAATTCACTGCTTTCTGGATTGAGTTACTGGACTTTTTTTATTTGAAATTCAGAGTTACAGAGAGAGAGGGAGAGACAGAGATCTTCTGTCCATTGGTTTTCTCCCCAAATGGCCAAAACTGCTGGGGCTGGGCCAGGATGAAGCCAGGAGCCAGGAATTCCATCTGGGTCTCCCATGTGGGTCACAGGGGCCCAAGTACTTGAGCCATCTTCCACTGCTTTCCCAGACCGTCAGCAGGGAGTTGGATAGGAAGTGGAGCAGCTGGGACAGGAACCTGTGCCCATATGGGACGCTAGTGTTGCAGGTGGCAGGTTTACCTGCTAAGCCACTGCATTGCTTTTTATACTATGATTACCAGAATCCAAACATTTAAAAACAAAGCAATAAATATCGTTTACTGATAGTTTCAGACAAAACAATGTGATGCTTGGGTTCATGGACATTTAGAGTTGAGATGGTAAGGTTTGGGGGGTATGAGGAGCTGAGGACATATTGTGTTATAACTGGTAATTCCTATAGATATATGGCAAAAAGAATATTTGGAACCCAAATGATACCATATGCCATATGAATTTGTCACCTTGAATTGATTCTTTGATTCTGGCAATAATTTGGCAGCTTCCACACTGTGGATGCCATATGTTGGTGGTCTCACTGCTGTGTGCCAAGTCAGCTTCATAATTGGTTCATGCTATGGGAAGTAGCCTCACCACATTCTTTATTTCTCATACTATTGGAGCCTCCTTACCCTACTGTGTGCCGTGTCTCTGGAGATTGCCACCCAATTATTCTGCAATGGAGAATGAACGCACAGAGAATATCAAAGGTACTTTTCATACATGTTTCAGAAAATACGTGTTTCAGAAAATACCCACTTAAGAGACAAAGATTGCCTAATCTATGAGTATTCTTTAATGTTATGCTAATTCTAAATTTCCCTGTGGAATCACAATATAAAGATCTAACTTTTGCTGAATACTTCCATGTCCTGGGTAAAGCACTAATCACTTCCTGTGCATTTTCTTGTCTTAATTTTTAAGACGTGATGGGATTGCTTTACAAATAAGGAATATGAGGCTCAAGTCATTCACAGTAGGAAATCAACTCTCTACTCTGTGCTACAAAGCTCTACCATCTCTTATTTGCCTTGTTGTGGTTTATCTTCAGAACAGGAAGCTTTGTAGCTACTCCAATAAGACCAAATACATTTTTCAGTCATCTGACTGTTATTGGTTGAAGATTCTCCATGCTGAACATTCAGCTCACAAAATAATAACATCATCATCAACAAATAAATATTTACAAATATTTAAGAATATGGAAGCTTTTATTAGCTAAAAAGCCAGTGTTTTTTTTTTTTTTTTTTTTTTGACAGGCAGAGTGGACAGTGAGAGAGAGAGACAGAGAGAAAGGTCTTCCTTCCATTGGTTCACTCCCCAAGTGGCCGCTTCGGCTGGCGTGTTGCAGCCAGCGCACTGCGCCGATCCGAAGCCAGGAGCCAGGTGCTTCCTCCTGGTCTCCCATGGGGTGCAGGGCCCAAGCACTTGGGCCATCCTCCACTGCCTTCTCGGGCCACAGCAGAGAGCTGGACTGGAAGAGGAGCGACTGGGACAGAATCCGGTGCCCCAACCAGGACTAGAACCCGGGGTGCCAGTGCCGCAGGTGGAGGACTAGCCTATTGAGCCATGATGCCGGCCTAAAAAGCCAGTATTAACTCAAGTAAATGAAACTATAAAACTTCCTTTTCTCCTTTATCGAATGCATGATGAGAGGTATATACAAATTAAAATGCTCTAGTAAGTCTATTGATTCTGCTTATCAACATTACACTTACAGTTTAGCCTTAATTGTTTAAATGAGTCTATGAATAGATTTAGACAGATGGCTTATTCTTCCTCTGAATGTCAATATTTTCCTGGTACAAGTTGACATGAGTGTATAACCACAGGTGCCAAGTAGGAATTTTCTCATATATTATGGTTAAGGCCAACAGTCTGCAGTACAATATTACAAAAACTCCTGTGGCAATTAACCCCATTCACACAAAACTAGTTTCTGGGAAGGAATGATGGTTTTATCATTGTCACCTGTGCCAACTGGGTAAAGGCCCCACTATGTCTTGGAGCTCTCGGACTATGTTTGTAAGCTCCGTAAGTTCCAGGCACTGCTGTGCTTGCTATGTGGGACCTTGAGACTCCGTATTTGCATTTCGGTGCTGCAGGCCCATTGTTGCCCATGCATAATCGCCAGGATGACCCATGCTTTTCCTGTGGAACCTGAACAAACTATCTTAACTCCCCTGCAACTCTGGAACTGTGACTGAGTACTAAGTTTCTCAGAGTCAACAGAAACCATCTTGTGGGAACTACAGCTCCAGGCCAGCACCTGCCTGTTCACAAGCCCCAGCATAACATGTCATTATGATGTGGGACTGGGGCAAGGTCTCTTACTTCCCCCAGTGCTGGGATTTCAGTGCTTTAAGCCCCAGCACCACCCTGCACACCCAGCAGGACTTGGGGAAGGTCCAGTCCACATCACACAGCTCAGGGGTCACAGCCATTGATGCCACAAGCCCAAGCATCTCTCAAGTTAGCCTGATGGGACAAGGGGATGACTACCTCTGGGTCTCACACACCAGAAATGTGGATATTGCTATCACAAACCCCAGAGTGACCAACATCCCAGTGTCTGGGGCCTGAAAAACGCATCTTTGAAAACCCACATCCACTTCAAAATCTTATTGCTTCTCCATGAACTGCCACATACTAGACAGTGACTGCACTCATAGATACTGCTGGAATGATTACATCTGAAGAAAACATGCAGAAGTTACACTTCTAGGCTCACCTAATACCAAAGCCAAGGCAACTGCCGAACTGACACTCCTAGTCCATCTGAACAAAAAACGCATTTTGAAATGACAGCTGCTCCGTAAAGGAGGAACTGTTACACCAGATGTGCCAACGTCAATGCAGGGACACAGAAAACAGGAAGAAGCGAGAAAGCATGGCACCTGCAAAAGAACACAATAGGTTCTAATTTGAAGGAAATCTACGAAATGTCTGGAAAAATTTTCAAAGTAATGATCTTAAGGAAATTCAATGAGATACAAGAGAATACAGATAAATGCTTCAAAGAAATAAGGAAAAAAGTGCGAATCTCAACGGAGAAATTTCTAAGAATCAATGAGAAAATTTGGAACTGAAAATTTGGATCAATGAAATAAAGAAACACATTTGAGATTTTCAGCAACAGAATAAAGAATTTCTGATCCTGAGGACAAGACCGTTGAAGCAGTCCAGTCAGACACAAGGAAATAGAAAAGAATGAACAAGAATGACCAAAGCCTATGATATAACACGGATACCATCAAGTGAACACATGTTCATACTATAAGGGTACCTGAAGGAGAAGAGAAGGAAAAAGGCATTGCGAACATATTTATAGAAACAATACTTGGAAACTTCAGAAGTCTTTTTAGAGATGTGCACCAAGATACAGGAATCTCAGCGGACCCCAACCAGACTAAAGCAAAACAAGAGCCGGCGCCGCGGCTCACTTGGCTAATCCTCCACCTTGCAGTGCCGGCACACCGGGTTCTAGTCCCGGTCGGGGTGCTGGATTCTGTCCCGGTTGCCCCTCTTCCAGGCCAGCTCTCTGCTGTGGCCAGGGAGTGCAGTGGAGGATGGCCCAAGTGCTTGGGCCCTGCACCCCATGGGAGACCAGGAGAAGTACCTGGCTCCTGCCATCATATCAGCGTGGTGCGCTGGCTGCAGCAGCCATTGGAGGGTGAACAAACGGAAAGAAGACCTTTCTCTCTGTCTCTCTCTCACTGTCCACTCTGCATGTCAAAAGCAATAAGAAAAAAAAAAAAAACAAGGAAAAGAAAAAAGCCCTCCAAGGCATGTTGTAGTCAAATAAAAAACTTCATACACCACAGTGAAGTGAAATTTATCCCAGGGATACAAGTATGGCACAAAATTCAATGAATTAAATGAATTAAATCAACAGGATGAAGAACAAAAACCACAGTTAAAAGTGTATACGATCACTCAACAGGTGCAGAACATCATTTCATAAAATTCAACATCCCTTCATAATAAAAACTCTCAACAAATTAAATATAGAAAGAGCACACCTCAAAATCAAAAAGCCTGTACATGACAGAGCCACAGCCGATACCATACTGATTTGGGAGAAAACGAAAGACCTCAGACAAGACAAAAATGTCCACTTTCACCACTCTTATTCAAAATAGTAATAGACGTATTAGCAAGAGTAATCAAGAGAAGAGAAAGAAGTAAGAGCATTTGAGTTGGAAAAGAGAAAGTCAAAACATCCATGTTTCCAGTTGACATGATTTTGCACATGGAGAAATCTAAGCACTCCACCAAAAAGCTGTTAGAACTGATAAATCAGTAAAGTTGTGGGACAGTTTTTTGCTGTGTTTGATGAAAAGTGGACAGTCATGGAGAAACGTGATTGGATAACAGGGCCTGACCTAATGGTGCTGAACTGGGAATTTACAAGAACTATTTGT